GATAATCATGACAATAGTAGAGAAACCCTGAATTTTAATCTATGCTAATTACTGTCGCAAATAGACTAATATAAATAATATATTTAGAAGATATCTTGCAAAGAATCGAACAATAAATAATCATGCATCTGATTGATAATCAGAACCAATTGTTTTTCTTTCACGACATCATTTTTTTATTCATTCATGACCAGCTGTTATCCTGATTAAATTTGAAAAAGTTAATGTTTTTTTTAAGATTTATTTATTCTTATGTTGTTGTTACCATTTACTGTTAAATCGTTACACAGTTAATTGAAGTTCCAATCGATAAAAGGTTAAAGTTCTAATGTAAATAGAGTTAAACGTAAATACTTCAACAAAGTATAAAACGATTTAAATCAATATATTTGTATCAACACAGTTACCTGCTTAATAGATAATTGTAGTTAAGTAAAGATCTAAATGATAGTAAAGAGAATAAAAAATCTATCTCTCTGAAGATAAGAGTTTTTATATTAATGCCATAGTTTTAATTCAGACATATGGAAAAGTTAACAATTATATATTTTAGTTTATTAGAGAGGAGTAATTAGAAAACTAAATGATAACTTAGTGAATTGAGTTAACTTACTAACCAATAACAAACTAAAGCTTCGTATTACTCTGCAGTTATCAAAAACTTTTGAAAACTGAACCGTGAAACTACGAAAAATATTTTCGTTTCAATTTTTTGGGATATAAAATACTTTTATTCAGAAATAATTATTTGATTTAATTAGCAAGTTTTCTGAATAAAGTTTTCATTTACACTAATTATGGTTAATATTTATTTTTTTAAAATAAATAAACAATTTATTTACAAACATTGTACATGTTTTTATCAAACGTTTTGTCTTGTTGTTTACCTCAAATAATAGTATGATAAGAATTTTTTTTTTTTATATAAAATATCATGTCTTATATTTCCTCATAAATATTTTTTTACTGACGTTTACAAGCAGCGTCGATATTGGCCACTTTGTTGTATCACAGTAAAGATATGGTCGAGCAGTGACATGAAATCTTGTTATCTCTTCCGCTATTCACAACATAGATTAAAAATGTTTGTTTAACATAACTTTAATGATAGTTAGTATAAATGATCAATTCAAAATATTCATCACAAATAAAGATTATTTGATAAAAGCAAAAATAAAATAATACTAGAAAAAATTTTGAAAATAACTTGACAATTCTATAGCAATCTTATCCTTCTGAATGGAAACTCGGAAATGTTCAGGGTGAACGCACTCACCTCCGCTTTAGCAGAAAGATGGAAGTAAAAAAAGATGGGAATAGAAAGAGAGACTCAAGTACCGTGCAATCCGTTGATTGTGAAAGTGAAGCCGACATCGATCCTCAGCGTCGTTATTATTCTAGTGAATAATACTTGATATTATTTTAGCTCGACAATTCTTTATTACTTATGCTCGACTTTACTTTCAATCTTTACTTCTTACCGAAGTCTTATACTACTAATTAGAATTCTAACAATCTTAATTAACTGAACACTAAAATATTTTATCAAACTTTTTCATCGTAAACAAAAGCGATAATGAAAATTAATGGAAAATTATATTATCCTTTTTTTTTTTTTTTTTAACTTTAGTCAGCTTTAACTGACCCAATTTTTGCAACAACCAATGACGCAATACTCAGAAGGCACATTCAAGGCTTCTCCGATTTGTGGTGTGACATATATTCTTGGACTGACATTTATGGACTTTTACTATGTGGCAAGACCTCCAATTTACTGTTTTCCCTAGATATATTTTTTCTAGTTTCTTTGAGTCATTCATTTGCTCATCTCTTTATAGATCATATCATTAGTACATATTATTTATTTATGTTTTTATGGAAAATTTATTTTTACTGCTGAATTTGCATCATGACAAAACAAAATTGGTTTATCATGTTTTAAGGGAATAAGTTTATCTCTATTTTTTGTAATATAAGATTAAATCTATTCATAAATATTTGTGAATAACTTTTTTTGAAAACTGCACAGATAAGCATAAAAATTTTATTAAATAATCAATAATATACGAGATCAATAGTTATAATTGGTGAATAAATTTATTTCGAGATATAAACAATAAGAGTTAAATAATATCAATTTAATGCTCATCATTATCGATAAATTATTAGGACAAATTGACATCGTAATACACTGAAGAGGAATAAGCTGAAATGAGAGCAAACACGTCTAAAAAACACGTGTAAAAATACTGCTGGGATTTAATTCAACCCAAACACATTGAGGATAAAACGAGAGCAGTTAAGACTTGCTTAAAAAATATTGACAGCAAAATGTTCCAGTAATTAAAGTCTCATTTATCGATAGAACTATTTCACTTGTCTATTTTTAACTCATCTACTCTTTACCAAGTAATCAATCTATTTTTAAAAACTTTAAAATCTACAACATTTTAAATAATTTCTTTTTTTCAAGTTTTCATTGAATTAAATACTTTATTTTACATCGTTGGGATTCTGCTGCTATTTTTGATAGAAAATAATATCTTGGGTAATTTTGGAGTTGAAAAATAGCAGTAAAGATGACCATTAAACAATGATATGAAGTAATAACTTATTTAGCATCATGTTTATGTATATCAGTGTTCATTATGTCGAGCAAAATACGGTCGTTGAATGCTTGGTGAGTTTCCTGTGTCACCGAATAGTTGAAGCGACATGGGGGTGAAGCATCGCTTGATGCTAGCCATGTTCTAATAGAAGAGGAAGCGAACGCGCTAATCGATTGCTAAGTTGAGGACGTAGCTCGAAGCATTGAAGCGCGCGAAAACTCTCGTCCGGTGATTAAATCTCCATCGATCGGTGTCATCGACTCATTCCACTTTTCGTTGGTTCTCAATGAGTTTGGAAAAAGGTATTGAATAATCATCATACCAATGATCATGTTATTGAATGAGAAAAAGTAAAAAAAAAATCATAATAAGGATGATGATATAAGAGGATAGAGATAATAAAACTTTTTTTCCTTTCTAACGAACAAAGGGTTTGCTGACATTCCAAGAATGTTTCACTTTTCATCGTTTCCGTCGTCTTTTTAAAAAGGACTTCCAATTTGTTTGCCCATTGTCCTGGAAATTTATTTCTTTGCACGCGACCTAAATAGCAAGATAAATTGTCGAGTTTCCTGTTCAGAGAGACGTCTTCTCGCAAACGACATATGGAAAGCGGAGCAAGAACGTTACAACAGAAGCCAATTTAAGTGAATTGAAAAGATTAACACTTTTGTGTTAATATTCTTGACATTTTAATTTCAGTCTCATGTTCATATCAATTTTGCATGCATATATTTTAATCATAATAGACATTAATTTTTTCTTTCTTTATTATTAAAGTGTTTTCAAAAATTGCTTATTATTTTTTTGTCTCTATCTGGGAGTGACTTTTTTAAAATAAACTTTTTACGAAATTTATCATGCGGAATAGTATTTCGTCCGATGAAAATTTTTTTTTCTGTAAATTTGTAAAGGAATAAATTTTTTTTCGTGCATGTTGGAGAGTTGTGAAGAGGTTTTTGTTTTAGCTGAATTTTTATTTGATCAAAGTTTTAGTTATTTATATTGAGGATGTCAAAAAAAAATAGGAAAATATATTGCAATATTAAATTTCTCACTGTTTATTACATTTTGTTTTTTAAATAGAATTTTTAACAGAAGAAAAAAAAGCTCAACTATGTTGTAGAAAAATTCAAAATTCAAATAATAAAAACAAATTGTGGAATTTTTGAAGAATTTAATGTTTTGTCTGACAATGCATACAATAGAGTTTAAGAATTTGTACTCTTCACAAAAATTATTACAATGTTTTTTCCTCTTTTGTACACAGAATAAAATAAATTCAATACATTTTTTAATCTTACTTTTCAACAAATCAAAACATTAATTCAATTATAATACATTGTAACAGTAATTCTTAATAATTTTTTTGCTGATTTATTTATCAAAAAAAAACATTGATAAGATGATTAAATATATGCTTTTTAATACTTAAGTAAAATCCAATGTAATAATAATTTTACTTAAATAATCTACTCTATTTATCAAATAAATAATTCTTTAATAAAAAATTCATTTTTTTCAGATAAAATTTAATCAATTAACACAAGAAATCATTCTACTCCACACAAAGTGTTTTTTATTTATTCAACAAAAAAATAAAGTAAAAGAACATTTCATTAATACTTCGTTGTTATTCCATCAGTTTATCTTTAATAATTAATTTTTTTGTCTCAAAATATCGCCAATAGTAACGTAAAAGCATACTTTAAACTTTCATTTTTTCGATATATGCATTACTCCCTAAAAATAATTTCCTCGTATTCTTTTTTTACAAAAAAACAACCCAACACGTAGTATGACTACTGAGTAGATAAAAAAGAACGACAAAAACGAGATCAGAGATAAAATATAAAGAGAAAATGAAGAATTATTAAGCTGTGGTGTTACATATAGATACATATATATAAAAGTAAAGAGGGGTTTTGGATCGATTGGTCAATTGGAAAAAGTAAAAGTTTGACCCGACCCCAATAATGGCTATTCGGTTAGAAAAGTTCTCAGAGCGACCACACTTTACTATATCGATTCAACTGAAATTAACTAGAAGCCGTTTGCATCTACCCTATCATCGCATTTCGTGTTTGATTAATCTACACTTTCGCACCCGCTTATCCAATCTTTCTTTTAGTTTTTTCTTATCGTTCACTTCTATATATACCCCACATATAATTTACTTGTCTTTTAGCCTCTGATTCACAGCCATTTGTTCTTTTATTCGTCACACAGAATACAATAATTTTCGATAATTACATTCTAAAAAAAAAGACGGTGCAAGTAATAATTATCTGACAAAAAATGCACAATCAAGTTCGTGTATTTATTTTATCAATACAATTGTTTGTTAATGAGTTGATAAATAATGAAAGATTTGTTTCTTTTTTTTTGCAGGAAAGGTCGAAGAAATTAAGCCACACGTATGAAAGGAGAAATGAAAGTCAATTGCTTGGTGAATTTTTTACAGTTGATTTTTTTGGCTTGACCGAATTTGGCGACACAAGAGACAGGTAATTCACTTAAGTTCAGTAACCAAAGTTTCTTGAATTTTTAACGACCACTTAGTGTCGATTAAACGGCGTACGAAATTTATAACAACATCGTGTAGCTCTTTTAGTTGGGTATTCAGTTCCATTTTCTCATTGAAGACTAACTATTACTACTATCTCTCTAGTTTATTTCACTAACTTTTTGTTACACACGTAGTTTTAGTGTATTTAATTTAATTAGAGACAAGAAACTTTATGTCAAACAAGCACACAGATAATCATATATAGATACATTGAATGTCGAAAAAAAATATTTTTTTTTCATGAAAAAAGTAATCGAGTTTTATAAACAATTGGACTACTATTTGATTTTTAAAAAAATAGAACAATTCTTTTATGACATAACACAGCTGAAAACCCATTTCGTGTCAAAAAGTTTTTAAAAACTAAATTAAAAAAATATTTAACTCTGTTTACGAAATATTTGAAACGCAAATAACAAGTGTTTTTTATTTTTTTATCCACTAAGCTCTAAAACAAAACAAATTTAATTTAACGAATAAAAAAACACCAATTTTTTCATTATCAATTAACGTTAAAATTCTTCATTAAATACATAATAATTTTTAATTACAAAAAAAACTGTTTACAAAATTTTTTTTCAGCATTAAAAAACATACAAAACATGTTATTTCTGTATTTCACTGAATGCAAGATAATTTAAGAAATTTAGTAGCAATCCATGCGATCTCGGAAACAAGTGCAAAGACCGCGCGCGAGAGTTTTTACTTCTTCACTCCCACTTACGAATGAGGCTCGTGTGGGTTTGATTCTGTTACGTGTCAGTCACGTTTCTGCTTTCGCTTTCTCTTTGCGTGTCGGCTCGTTTCATCGTTCTCGGTCTGATGCGGAAGTGTCGATTTATATAGACACATATGGGTTCTAAATAGTCTGCTGTCATCATTTTCTTTATGTGCTACTCATCAAATTTTGATAGAAATATTGATTAGTATAATTGAATACTCACGCAAGAGGCCTTGAGAGTTAGCAAGTCCAGATGAAAGAGCTTAGCCTAGTTGTATACGCGTAGACTTGATTGACATTAAATGATGTTGTGATCTCAAACTTGTTGGCGACCTTGCGGTGCTATTCAGATCAGGGTTAGGTTTCGCGACGTCTGATAGAGTCAGACAGGATTGTTATTGCTATCAGTTAAGAACAGAACGCGTGCGCAATGTTCTTTACGTCTCAAGAGAATACGGAAAGTATTATATATATATCTGTTGGATATTGTATGTACACGTAACAGAGACGTCTTTGAATATATACATTCCAGCAAGGTCACTGTGTTGATTGTAAGATATGGAATAAGTACAAGAAAGAAAAGGTGCTCGTGCAAACACAATTCGTTATGCAACTTGACAAGTACGTTGAGAGTTATAGATATATATATTCATGTGTATATGAGCAGGGATATTTATACTTTGAATTGCGATAAGCTTGATACAATAAATGATACAATGATAAATCATTTATGCACTTATTTCATTTACTTGTCGAAGTGATTGATCGATCTTGACGTTTTCTTCCACTTTTTTACGGTTCCTGGGCGTTACTTGCTATAAAACTTTAGATTGTTATTTTCAACATGATTTATTGGGCTTCCTCGAAAATTAATCATCGACATTTGCATTTTTTTGGCTTTTAAATATTTTAGTGCAAACTCTACAATTCATGTAAATAAATAAAGTCTTTAAATTGAGTATTACTATTTTATTTAATTGATAGTAATTGTTAAAAAATTTTATTTAAAATTTCTTTTATTTTTAAAAGTACATTTTATTTAACAGATTTTTTGAATGAACTTTTCCTTTGGAAAAGTTTCAACGCTGAGAATTTTAATTGCAAAATTATTATGAGCAAATGCATAAGTCATTAGTTATTATTGAGACATCTGAATTATCCAAGTGCTATATTAGGAGTCAGCAGTATTTAAAGTTGAGGAATCAACGAACTTGTTATTAGGTAATAGTTGACTTCAGTAGTTTGACTTCATAAAGTTTGAAATAGACGAGTAGAAGATGGAAGTATTGCAGTAGCGTACGTTATTAAACAAACATTTACATGAATTCTACAATTCAAATATTAGATAAGCACTTTTTTATAGAAAAAGAATGTTAATAAATTGTTGAATAGATAATAAAAGATAAAGAATGTAATACATGTTTGTTTAACGTAAAACATTCATTCGATCAATGTTTTACATTATATGAAATTTATTGCAAAAAATAATCAAATTCCATTTTATTGATAAAAAATTTTTTTCCAACCCATTCTAAGCCGATTAATAGTTAATTAATTATTAAACAATTGACAACAATGGCTATTCTAAATATGATGAAAAAATCCATAAAAATATTATTAAAGCAATATCACTTGTATTGAGGCATTTATTTAATGATTATTCCAACTTCTATTTGATAAAACACAATTCTAGTTGATTTGACTACTCATTATTAAAATACTAAATGAATTTATAATACATATCTCTGATTCCGGTTTGGTTAAATAACACAAACATTGATTAACACTGTATCACCCAGAACAATATTCAATAGCACGCGAGCAGTTGGCTAATTCCACCAACCTCGACATATGGAAGTAGTAAAATTTAATGAAGTTGATAAATCCTCTAACCTAAAATAGATTGAGACGTTAATCGTCATCATGGTCAGGTGGATAAGCAAAGCTCCACATGTTGAAGTTCATGGAGATCATATAGCATAACTTCATTTGTCAGTCAAATATTTTTTCTTTCTCTTCAATGATTGAATTAATCAATAATATTATGTGAAGTCAAGTTTAAATTTACATCTAAATGATGCTTTATGAGAATGTAATTATAAGTTCAACTTATTAATGAACTTTTTGTAAAATAAAAATTTGCTTTTTATCGATGTGACCAAGACTAGTTAGTTCATGGACAGTTTTCAAGTGTGAAAGTGATGATTCAGGACTAATTGGTGGAGTATCTTCTACCTTAATCAAGTATATTTTCTTTTTATTAGAAAAAGCTTGAATCAGCAGCATTTATCCATTTGACCTACAGATGAAAATCGATTACAAACGAATTTTTTTACTACTCTCGAGTTAAAAGATTAGATTTACATTGAACTTATTGATCAGAATATTAAATTTGAATATAAATAAGTTAAAATCAATCCAAACGAATATCCTCTTCTGAAATCAATTAATAAGCATTATCGCGAACCAGTGATGAATAACTTGTTGAGCAACAATAATTTTTCTGATTTATCTTCATTTGAAAGACATGTTAGACTTGGAGATTTAACTTTGCCTTGGGATTCAGACAAATCTATGCTTAGTACTGATCAGTGAAAGTAAACGAATTAGGAATGATACATTTATCATTCAAAGCTAAATTTACTGACATTTCAGTCATTTATAAATAATTTCTTCAATTAATTCAGTTTGTTGATCAAAATAACCTTTGATTAAATAACTTGAAGTTGACTGTCCTACTATGATCACAGCTTTACATCAATACGTTCATATATTCTAGTAACTATTCCTGGTTGTAAAATAAAAATAGAAACAACTTCACTAAGTCAAGTATAATTGACTTTAATTCTAGTTCTATTCACGGCAATTTTAATATATTTAATTCAACTCCACGTGATGTTACTTGGACTAGAATTTAAAGTGGTCCCTCTACACCTTTTACCAACACCAGAACAGTTCATTTGATTAAAATAAATAACAGGTACCAATGCATTTAACAATTTACTTAACTTATATCAACTATTTTTATCAATGTAAAATACTTGTAATAACTCTGGTAAACATTCACATTAGAGAAATGATACTTTCACGAAAAAAAAAGAAATCCAAGAAGAATAAAAAGATGCGAAGCTTATGAATAAAAAATAATTGGATATACACAAGATTGAAACGACTTGAACGAAAGTGAATAAGAAAAAGACTTGGTGTCTGGCGGTTCGCCAACATTTTGTAGCGAAGATAAACCTGTGGTATAACTGTCGTCTCTTACTTGCCTACGTCCCGCTAGGTCTTGTCCCCTTTGTCATCGCCCATCTAATTAATCTCGTTTGCCTCTTCAAAGTTCGCTACGACTTACGTTCACGAGAGAATTGTATACTAGCTAGTGTGAAGGAGGATGCTAGCATGTCTCAAGCTGCTTGCAAACTACTTTGAGGCGCTCTATATAATGTTAAAACGTACAGAGAGATGAGATAGGAAATGGTAGATAAGAAGGAGTAAGATGATGGCTCTCTTGCTGCATCTTACGTTTTTCCTTACTACTCCTAGCTTCCTTCTCTTGTTGTACGCCTCTTATTTTCGTTTCGTCGCGCCTCTCAAGATCTCTTATAGTCTGTTCTAGCAAGTTCCTACTTTACGGCACTAATTACAAGTGCAGGCCATTATGCCGGGAGCGAAACAATTAGCGTCGTTCCTCGTACTCGTTTCCTTTATACTTCAAATAACCTATCAGTCTTAGAACCTTAAATTTTACTTAGATTATACGTATTCTTTTTTTTTCTATGTATATAAGTGCTACATAATTATGTTCACGCTGGATAAAGGGTCCAATTATCCTCCGAAGGACGACGTTAATTTATGTCGAAAGATTTTAGATTGTGTTTATTGTTGAAAAATTTAAAGGCCAAAGTTAACGTCATATTAAGGGTGAAATTGGAACGAGTCAAACAGTGTAATAAAAACTGTCTAACTTGGAGTAAACATTTTTCTATTTTCCTTGGATTGATTTTTATTCCAAGTTAAATGGTTATTACTATGTCTCAGACTTGAAACAAATTTGCTCTCAATGAAATCATAATTTTCATTTAATTTTTACTGAAAAATTGTTTTTATGATTAAATTTTTTATTATCATGATGATTTTTTTACCTAATTAAATAATACGTGAATCAAGAATTATATTAATACTTGGATTTTTATTTTGGAAAGCTCATTTCATAG